GCCTACAATGTTTTCTTTAAAAAAAAAAAGCTTGAACAATTGTGGCACTATGAGAACTGGCAATTCAAAATACTGGTGTTTGTTAATCCATTCTGCATACATGCTTTTATTTTAAAAGCTTAGAGAAAACATATATTAAAAAGCACAAGACATGTGGGATGTGGTGTTGCATGCCTGAAATCCCAGCAGCTGGGGAGGCTGAGGCAGGAGGATTTTGAGTTCAAAGCCAGCCTCAGCAAAAGTAATTAATTTTTAATTACTAAGTAATTTTTAATTTAAAAAATTAAGTTAAAAAGTAATTAATTTTTAATTACTAAGTAATTCAGTGAGACCCTGCCTCTAAATACAAAATAGAGCTGGGGACTGGCTTAGTGGCTGAAATGCCCCTGAGTTCAATCCCTGGTACCAAAAACAAACAAAACACAAGACACCTGTAATCCCAGCACTCAAAGGGCAGCCGGGACACTTTGGTGAGAACCTGTCTCAAAAAAGCTGGGCAGCTGGGCTGGGGTTGTGGCTCAGTAGTAGAGCTTCTTGCCTAGCATGTGTGAGGCACTGGGTTTGATTCTCAGCACCACATATTTATTTATTTATTTATTTATTTTAGAGAAAGTGAGAGAGGGGGACAGAGAGAGAATTTTAACATTTATTAGCACCACATATTTAAAAATGAATAAAATAAAGCTCCATCAAAAACTAAAATAAAAATATTTTTTAAAAAAAGCTGGGCAGCACTGGTGATGTGGCTCAGTCCAGCTTGTATAAGGCCCTGGGGTGGGGTGAGAGGAAGCACAGACCATGGAGAAAATGAAAAGATCTCAGATCTTTTGAAAAAATGAGAATCAATTTGGCTTGAGCCAGGCACGGTGGCGCCTGCCTGTAATCCCAACAGCTCAGGAGGCTGAGGCAGGAGGATCGTGAGTTCAAAACCAGCCTCAGCAAAAAGTGAGGTACTAAGCAACTCAGTGAGACCCTGTATCACAAAACAGGTCTGCGGATATGGTTCAGTGGTGGAGTGCCCCTGAGTTCAAACCCCGGTACCGGCTCCCCCGCCACACACCCCCCGCCAAAAAACATTGGCTGATGAAAAGCCTTGAAGAGCCCAAAGAGAAAAGAGGGCAGGGTGAAAAGAAAATGAGGGGTTTGGGAAATGGCTACTAAAATGCAAAACGAGGGGCAGTACCTGTAAGGACCTGGGGGAAATGGGGAGGAACATTTACAGAGGAGTAAGTCAAGCTCCTTGAAGGGCTTCGGATCACCCCGAGGAAGGGGCCAAGAGCATCCCAGGACACTAGCTGACCTGTGGGGTGACCTGCAGAGAAGCCCTGGGGCGTGCATGGGCCCTGTGAGGAGGGACTCTCAAAGTGGAGTGGGGTGGGGGCAGAAGGAATGACCCCCAGGGTGGGGGGTAGAGGGATGCGGGGTGAATACTGCAGAGGGGAGACTAGGTATGGGGGGATCAGCACCGGGTCTTCCCGGGGCGGAGCACGCTCGCCGGTGAAAGGGCCTGTCCGGGTCCCCGTGGCGGGGCTTGCTGTCAGTCGGGGAAGGGGCCTGCCCGGGTCCCCGGGGCGGAAGTCGTGGTCCATGGCTGGGCTGACCCGTGCCCTGAAGGTCGCCAGCAGGGTCCGCGCACAGAGGGACCAGCGCTCACCTCAGCATCGCGGGACCCTGCTCGGCGTCCAGCCAATTAGAGCGGGGCGGAAGTGACGCCACGCCGAGCCCTCCCCTTGCCGGACCCCAGGCACCGCCCTGCCGCTATGGGAAGGACTCGGCGAGTGGCCGTTCAGCTGGAGGGTACTGGGAGGGGATCCGGCACCTCTCGCGCGCCAGGCAAACGCCCGGCGCGGTAATTCCTTTCTGATGAATTCTCCCTGGTGAGCAGTGAAAGCCGTCAGCGGGTCCAGGAACGGGAAGCACCCTTTTCTGAGACAGGAGATTGTTTACAGGACAAAGTAGCCTGTTTAATTCACTGTCCCCAGCCTTGAACTTCTCTGTAAATGGGACCCAGTATCCCTCCAATTAAAACAGCAAGCCCGCCCAGGTGGCGTGTCCCTCGGGCAAGACCTGAACCCACTTTCCCAGGGAGGGAGCAGAGAAGCCGCAGCAGCTTATGCTCAATCATAAACTGTGTGCTTTCTGTCACTCTTCAAGATGCCCCTAACCTCCCCTGCGCCCCAATCCTTCAGTGAACACCTCTCTGTGAGCCAGAACCCTAGGATCCCCACTGTGAATGAGTTTCAGGGCCAGATCCCAAAACTACCAGGGTATTACCTGGGTGGCCCAGGATAGGTGAGGATCACACTAGAAATGAATGCGGACCACCAGAACAAGGAGCCATCTGGCAGGCAGAGTAAGGTCTTGTCATTTAAGGACCCTGCTTACAGCCATAACCTTTCAAAGACTGCGGGGATGGAGTTACCATTTAGAGAATTTGGAGGTCGGACTCCTCCACCCACTCCAGTCCTACACAAGTGGGTTCAGCATAAAATGATCAACTACCTCGAACTTGGTGCTGTTCAGCATGTCACCTTTGCATGGGCAAAGGGGAAGGTCATTTGTTTTGGTGAAAACTAGGTCAGCTGCTTACAACCTGTGGCTCCTCAGGA